AGTTGTTGTATGAAAGCTTGACTTCTGACATGACAAAAGATGGAGCTGATAGAGTGCTCACTGCAGCAATGAAGAGAAAGGTCTTGTTTCCTTTTTGTTCCCAATCCTCCTCCTGGCCATGTGCTTCCACTCCTTCCAAGGTGCCACCACTGCACTTGTGTTACCTCAAATCACCCGCTCCTGAGAAAGCTGTCTGTGCTTTCACTGGATGATTTATGAAGGGATCTAGTGAGGACCAGAACTGGTATAAGGTAAGTGGGAGAAATGTGCAATGACATGTAGAAAAAAAACCCAACTAAATAAAACCTTTGATCTTGAACAAACTCATATTTTTAATAGGGAGTGTTTTATTTTAACTCTTATTAGAAGATATTTTCCTTTGTATTATATCAATGCTAGGTGTTTAATATGAAGTGTTGGATGTTTATGTATTCAATACTTGCTGATCTTTACAGAAATTAAACTGAAGCTTGAACTCTACTGAGCAATCAGAGATGTTTCTTGTTTCTTAAATGAAGTAGGCACTGCTTCAGAAATTGAAATGAGGCCATTTCAAAACTTATGTTTAACTGCACCAGTTTGTAGATTAGAATATTTTTCCAGATGCTTGGAAGTCTGTCTGCTCCCTTTATAGTGTAAGCTCTTGGGGGCTCCCAGAATTTAGGCAGCAACAAGCCTGCATGTGATGTCCTCTACTACTTCAGTGCTTCAGTGCTCTGGAAAAGAGCACCTAGAGGAAGAAAATGTTACCAATTCCATTTAAAGGAAATCAAGAGTTGTCAGAGGTTTTTGCATTTTTTAATCCTAGGCTAAATTAGCATTTTCTCATTTGCCATGATTAATTTATATAAATGGAGTGAAAGATGGAATTGGTGTCCCAAGACACTTGATGAGAATGAAGTATCTATCCCATTAGCTGTATTTCAAATATCAGTTCAGTTGACTGGTTAAAAAGCTTCATTGGATGTTCAAATATAGGAGATTTGGGTGGTTTGTGGGAAGCTCAGCTCCTCTTGTATGGTTGGAAGAAAAAGCACAGCTCTGACTATTTTTTTTCAGGGGGTAAATCAAGAGTGGCTTAATTTAGTGAAATTCACTGTGCTCCACATTTGCTCTGTCTAGCTGCTCTCCTGCCTCTCTGAGGAAGTCCACGCACACTGCATCATGTATCCATCCACTTCAGATTGAAATTACCATTACCAAATGAGGAACTGCTTCTTCCTGCCTTGCTTTTGCATGTTCTGTGTTACATCTGGTGCCCCATGTGTGGAGACGCGAGCTTTGACTCCACGTTTCAGAAGGCTGGTTTATTATATTATGATATATATTATATTAAAATACTACATTAAAACTATACTAAAAGAATAGAGAGAAAAGATTTATCAGAAGGTTAGAAAAAACAGGAATGGAATGCATAACAAAGAACTCCTGACTTCCAGAGAGTCTGATGCAGCTGCATCTGTGATTGGCTATTAATTAAAAACAACTAACATGCACCAATCCCAGCTGCACCTGTTGCATTCCACAACAGCAGATAGTTATTGTTTACATTTCTCTCTTGAGGTTCTTCAGCTTCCCAGGAGGGAAAAATCCTAGCAAAAGATTTTTCATAAAATATCACAGCTACAGTTCTGCTCCTCATTGCGGGGGGGGAGGGATCTTACTTCACTACCCCTAGGAAAGTGGTATTTTTTGGTCATTTTGTGTTAAATCTTCTCACCAAAGGCCTGACGAAAGTCAAGGAAGATGGAAGGCTTAACACCTGGTTAAGTCTTGAAGAGTTCATCTTCAGTGTCTGCAGTTCATGAACCTCAGATGCTCAGGTAAACTGGAGCAGTGGAGCAGGAAGATTTTGTCCAGAGCAGAAATTGCCAGTGTTAAAGAAAACAAACAATAGCCCTTTTTCTCTGCCAATAAGTTCTATATGGCATGAAGAATCATCTAACTGTAAAATGGTTTGGGTTAGAAGGGAACTTTGAAGGTCATCTATCAACCCTGCCATGGGCAGGAACACCTTCATGGATGGAGCCCCATCCAGCCTGGCCTTGAATGTTTCCAGGGATGGATCCTAAACTTCTCTGTGCCAGTGTTCCACCACCTTCATGGTAAAAACCCCTTCCTTATATGTAGTTTAAATCTCTTTCAGTTTAAAACCATTACCACTTATCCTGTCACAACAGGCCCTGCTAATAAGTTTGTCTCCATTTTTCTTGTGAGCCCCCTTTAAGAAGAGTTGTTACCAACTCCATTTAAAAGAAATCAAAAGGATTGTCAGAGGTTTTTAAAATTTTTTAATAATAGGCTAAATTAGTATATTCTCTTTTGTTGTGATTAATTTATATAAATGTTTATTTGGAAATTGTTTTTAAAAATAATATAGACACTAGCACAGCTTAAAATATTGCTACCCATCACCCAAAATATGACAGCACTTGAAATCAATGTTAGAATTAAATATAGCCAGTGACAAGTGCATTCAAAATGTTCTGACAGATGAGTAGAAGGAAATATGTCCATAAGATTAAGTAATTGTTTATACAGTTCAGAATGACTGGAAATAGTCAAAAATAGCTAAATAAAGAGCAGGTTGTTTGAGAAGATCTGCTTAAGATTTTTGAGAGGAAAACACATGCAAGTTCTTTATTATGGAAAGGATAAATTTGTAGTGACAGGAATTAATTGAAAGATGTTTACAGTATGGAAAGACCATGCTTGACGTGTTTGAAAATGGCTTTTAAATCCAGAATTTCCTTCCTGTTCTTTATACCACATGGAACAAGCAAGGATAGCAGCAATAAAACTTCTGTTGGCAGAAGAGACTGTGGACAGAAAAGTTGGGTTTGTGTCTGGTTTCTGGGGTTTTTTATTACTTTGATGGTTTATTTAAAGCTAGAAGTAGTGTTGCTAATAAGATGCAGGTAATAAATTAATCTTTAAGCTGGTAATCTCAGGAATGATAAGGAATTTTGCTATGCTTTTCAAATTTCAGATATAACTTTTAAGGGCAGATCAGAATGAAACACTCTAATTAATAGAAGTGGGCATCATTATAACAATAGAATATTCTGAACTGGGTTTGGCAACAGCATTGTGGTAAAGAATTTGGCAGAGCATTATACTTTTTATTACCTGAAGTGATCAGTTATCTCATTTTTTGCTCCAATCCCAGTTCAGCTGCAGCCAACAAAAACCTTGACAGGACCAGAATCAAATGCTTCACAGCTCACATTTTCACAAGCTGGGTAAGTGCACTTCCACGTGGTGCTTTGGTTTTGCTGTCCTAATGAATTCACAGAAACCCCAACAACCCCCCAGCCTATAAATGCATAATTGATAGATCACATAGCAGGCTTTCTTATTGCAGCTGTAAGCAGGTTCACTGATTTATTTTTCAACTGACACAGCCAGAGATCACTTTTCTGACCCTTATTATTTTCCCTAATTAATAAACTATCTTGTTTTATAAAAGGTTACATGCTGTAATCTTCTGTGATGCTGGCAAGGCTGTTCAAGGCAATGGCTAACAGCACTTATAGTGACACATTTAAAACAGAATATTTGTGTTTACCAGTGTTTTGTTTAGACAGTTCTGTTTTCAACTGTCGTAGTAGATCTCTGTTAAATCACTTAAAATCCACTGTCTTTCCTAAAGGTCCTGGAAAGAAATGCCAAAATCAAAACACTGATAGTTTACACCTCTATGCAAGTTAGGTTAACTTGCTGCTGCTTTGCTCCTCAAAAATCCTCCTCCTCCTCTTCCTACTTAATCACAAAATGCTTTGGATTGGAAAGGACCTTAAAGATCATCCACTTCCAGACACCCTGCCATGGGCCGGGACACCTTCCACAGGCCCAGATTGCTCCAAGCCCCATCCAGCCTGGTCTGGAACATTTCCAGGGATCCAGGGGCAGCCACAGCTTCTCTGGGCAGCCTGTGCAGCACCTCCCTCACAGTAAAGGGTTTTTTCCCAATATCCAATCCAACCCTGGCCTCTATCAGGGTTATTTGCTGTTACAAGTAGAAGTCATTTGCTGCTTTATGTATTCTAGTAGCAACTCCATTTTCAAAGGAAGCTACATGTAAAAATTGCAAGTGTGGCAAAATAAATTCATTTTCATTTTAATGTAAATGTATAACTCCCCATAGTCTGTCTCTTGTTGATTTTCCCTCTGTTAACCCTCTGGAATCATGAGTTCTAAAAAGAGACAAGATACAAGGTAAGAGTGGGCCAGGAGTCAGTGTATGAAAGAAGGAAATAAAACTCAATCCAAACAAGTGCCATTCAAAGGAATTTTGTCCCTCTACAAGGAGAGGTAAGTTTACACTGTATTCAACTAAATTTTAAACTTTGCTCCTTTTTTGTAAAAGGCAGGATGTCTTCCAAATTATCATGCTGTGTGCAACTAGTGTTTGAATGTCAGTCCCTGCACATTTTCAGGGTCTAAGGTGCAGAATCCTTGAGTAAATTTGAGAGTCTTACTCTACTGAAAGGGCAGTTTACTGCCCAAACCACTACACAACTGATGTTTAACAGCTACACCCTCTTAAGTTTTTTGATTAATTATGAAGGATGAGATTTTTGCTTGTATTGTATGGAATCAGTTGCAAATAATTTGTAGGAACAGTAGAAAAAATAAAATTTCCAGTGACTGAATGGGATTCTGTACAATTTCTGTAGTGTATTTAAAATTTGGCTTTGCCAGATGTCTGTAGTAACATTAAAGAATCTCTGGATGGTCACAAGCCCTGTGAAATCCCTTTCCTCTGCAGTGCTCCTGTCAGTTCCATTAGTTAACAATTTTTGAGTCCCAGCAAAAATCTAGGTAAAAGTGTGCTCTAGAGCTCAAAATGCATATTAAAAAAAAATTATAATTGTTAGCTAAATGAAAGGGAAATATGGCAGAATGTTTTTGCAAGCTTATGATTGCATAGCTTCTCATAACCTTGTATTTTGATTATCAACAGTGACCTCACACAATTCATTTATTTCAGCCTTACAGAACTTCAAGAACTTCAAAATGCTCTCACAAGTAGGGCAGAAGTGAATTGAAACATCCCAGCATGGGGATTTCCCCATGTCCCAACAAAAAATAAGAAGCTGGAGAGAGATTTGTGACTCACCAAAAGCCAAATTGGATGGTGAAATTTTGTGAACAGGAACACGAATTGCACTGCTACCAACTGCATTGTATTTGTTTTTCAAAAGGCAAGACTTCATTGTGTAGCACTGTCAGTGTACCCCCTTCACATTCCAAGATTTGAAGTGTTTCCATTGTTACAAAGACATTTACAGATTGAAAATCTCAGACCAATTTTCTGCATCTTGCTCAACAACACTGTAGCTTCCAGTATGTTAAAAACAATAAGATTTGGTGAAATATTACATATTCATTTCAACCCTTAAACCAATAACTTATAATATCAAGTGGATTGTAGGCACCAAATTGAAAGAGAATTTGCTGTTGTCAGCATTGACTCAATGAAGGGGAAAAAAGAGGGGGGTTGTTTAATCTTAAAAAATTCTTTAATTGTTTGTGCCTTAACTGTACAGCCACTGTCAAACAGGAGAACAGCCTGACATGTTTCCTGTGAGACCTCTGCTCTGGCTCCTGTGCTGAAGAGGGGACACAAGTGGTGGGCAGCAATTTGCTCAGCAGGACCTATGGGCTGCATAATGCTGGGGGTTGATATTTTAATAAGACGCAAAATTAATGGTGGCTACAGCTGTAAGAACAGGAACTGTCCTGACACACTGAACCAATAACTCCCACAAGTTCTTGACTCTTGAATTTTGATCTAATATGATGTTTCATTCTATTGAAAGGTATCATTTTGTCATCTCTGTAGTGCAAGACATTAAAGTGCTTCTAGGGGGTAGGTCAGGCTTTGGTTTGAAAGTTAAATGTGTCTCTCTACATTTCGGCTTTTAAGCTATGAAAGAAACATTAGCTGTGAAACCTGGATAGCTTTTTAAATAGGGACAAATCTCTGGCTTTTTGCTTAACATCCACTGGCCCACAGTATTCTATTTCCTCTCTCTAACCTGGTATTTACTGTTCAACATCAAAACAACTTGATGCAAGCGTACTTTCTCAGAATTGGTCGTGTGCCATGTAACGAATGCTTCCTTTTGATGCAAAATTATGATCATAAAAATAAAACAAGTCATGTGAGCAGCAATGTCTAAACCAAACCAGTGTAATCCACTAGCAGTACTATATATATATGTATATATATATTTGACAGATCAAGTCATAAAATAATTTTCATGCTCCAATCTATTACAAGAATGAATAGAAAATTCATCCAGCAAAGAAGTGGATTTGCCAAACAACAAAATAGACTTCTTATGGTGGTTTAAAATATTAAGTCACAAAAAATAGCTAGTGTCAATATGAGCAATTAAAATACTCTTCTTTCTGAAGAAAAAGAAGATGAAACTATTAATGAAACATCAATAGTTTGATGGGATGGCTCATATGGAAGAGGGCAGCAGTACAAAATTTGCTCTTTTCTCTCCCCTTGGCACAGTGCCTTTGTGCAAAGAACAGTCCTGCAGCCTTCGTGTCCCTTTTCCCAAATGGGAACTTCACTCCTTCCTCGTTGTCCAGAAGATCTTTCACATTTCTGTAAATCATCTTGCAATATGCAAGGTAGCACGCACTTTTTTCAAAAGCATGTTGTGTTCCAGCAACCCCCCCCCGGCCCAGCAGGAGGTTTGTGCCTAGGGGCCAGGGAGGGACATGGACTTCTGGAAGAACCGTGGATGCCTGGGGGGCCCTGGGTAAGGGGGTGGGGGCACACCATCAGAGGTCACTGCCTGCTCGTAGGTGGGCAGCCCTGACTCCTCAGCTGGGACAGGAAGGGGGTTTAAGGAGAACTCCTCATGCCTCCTGAAGATGTTGGCTGAATTCCGTCGTCTGCTCCTCACATAACCCAAGTACCTAAACAAAGGTAACAGCAGGTAAGTGGGAAGTTCTGCTTTAAAGAGAAGCAAGGAGATGAAGTCTTAATGATAAAAGAAACAAAACCCCAAACGACCCAAAAAACCCCCACAAGAGAAAAATCATGCCTTCAGTGATCACAAGGACCAGAAGGCAAACACTCTCCAAACCACAGGTAAGAATAGCTCAGTGATGTGAAATTCATAGGGAAGAGAAAGCATAGAATCCTTTTATATTCCTTCCAAGATTAGGACAAAGGAGCACTCAGGAGTAGAGACTTGTAGAGATTCTCAGTTCAGTCGAAGAGAATTCTCCCAGGCATCAGGCCTGGGAAACTTAAAGAAGAATGAAAACAATTATTATCTCTCTTTCTGTTCATATTGTTTATAGATATGTACCTTCAGAATGTGCTATTCATAGTTCACCAACAGTGTGAAAAAGTTTTACTTTGAGACTAATCAAATTTCACCTCAGCAATCCTAGTTATAAAAAGACGCTACCTCTCAATAAATATTCTCTCTCTTTTTCACCTTCTGAACCATAGAACCATTTAATCCATCCCTGACTCAATAGCACCAGAGACTTGGTAAAAAAGCATTTCCCCCAAACTGCTTCATCATCCACTACCACAACCACTTCATATCTGAGGTAGAGCACATGCCATGAGAGCACACAGCTTATTTGAGAGCACACAGCTTATCTGAGAGCACCCACGGAACATGTTAGACTTCCCATTGCAGGCCCCCACCTACTAAAATTATTCCATCATCTTAGTAAGAATATTTTGAAACCAAGAACACACACACACATGCAATAAAAAAAAAAAAGGCAAGCCCAAAGGTTTGGGTGTGCAATATTGTTTTATGATTTTGTGTTATTAACTGCAGCATAACTACTGTTGGTGCTCATTTAACTTTGCTTCTAGGCAAGCAAGAACTAGAACTTCCACTGGATTTTCTGAGAATACAATAGTTAGACCAACCCACAGTGATTTTTAAATGCCACTCTTAAGCAAGAGTTTGTATTGTGTGTGTTTGGGTTTTTTAAACAGTGAAATTCCTTACCCTGGTGGTTGCCTTGATTTGCATCTGCTCTTGCAGCAGTAGAAGATAATCAGAGCAATTATAACCAGCAGGACTCCAGCAGCAACCAGGCTGATGAGCAGTCCTGTGACATTGATCTTCTGTAGTGCCTCATCACCTGGAGAGAAAACATTGGTGATTTTCACAGTGTTCTTTCCATCCACCCAGCCTGCAGTGTACACTGTAAAATACTGCTTTTGCACTGCTGTTGGGCTCTTCCTTCCACAAATGTCTAACTTGCTGTTAGAAGCTGTAAATCTGTGCAACACAACCCAAGAGAATCATTCACAGTCAACTTAAAGCAAAAGGGAGTTGATGCCCCCTTTTCTCTACATTAAACTATTGAGATCCCTCTCTTCCAAAGCCTTCCAAATATTCCTTCATGTACTTGTGACCTTGATCAGGTCCAACTGACCTGATAAGATCAGTTAAACTTTTTATTTTATTTTTTATTAAACATCTGGCATCAGATTACTCTGAGCCTAAATGAGACTGTTATATATTAGTATTAAAGAAAAAAACAAAACCTAACCACAGCCACAAAATTGCTGCACAGTTTACCAATTGTGTAATAAAGAAGTGGTCAAGGAAATTATTGATTTTACCTACAGACCTATAATGGATCCCACTTTAAGATGCTTCAGTTTTATCAGAAAATTAAATATATTTGTACAGTTCACAGTGATCTTCAGTAAAAAGATAATTTCTGATTTCCTTAACTGAATGCATGATCTATTAAGCATGTACTATTATAACAACCAGAAAATATTGCAATATAATAAAAAATACAAAGATGACTTACCTATTTTTATATTAGGTCCTTTAGTTGAATAGTCTTTCCAAAAATCCATCTATAAAACCCAGAAAAGAATCAGATTTATATGAGATACATAAGTTACAGGCCTATTGACTTATATTTAATATGGTACCTCGGGCAGAATTTAACAGTGGCATAAACAGAAATAGCTCCTGCTGAAGGATTTGTATTTACTCATGGTATTTTTCTTCCACAACTTTGAATTAAAAATTCTCAGATCCCAGTTGGTAAAAGAAAAAAGCATATTTAACCATCCAGTATTACCTCATATTTCTGCCAGATTACAATAGCATTTAAGGTATATTCTGACACCAAAAAAATGCTTACAATTATTTTTTTTGCAAATCCCTACAAAACAGTTTTTGAGGCAAAGTTTAATTCTTAATTGCATGAACAGTGTTTCAACTCACATCAGCTAGGAAAAATAGTGGGATTCATTTAAGAGAAAAACTTTAATGTTTTATGACCATCAGGCGTTAAATGTGTTGAGTTATAATTTTCACTTTTGCTACCAAGCAAGATTTCAATTTAGCAATTTGACCTTTTTCTTAGGAAAATGTTAGCAATGTCAAGCTAACACTTCCACCTTTAGAACAGGGGTGTATTCCTCACTCTTCCTGCAGAGCACACCTAGAATGACAAAGAGATTCTTGCTGCTTGTGCAACAACCAGTCTTTGGACAATCCTCACATTCCTTTGCTGAGCTGAAAGGTTTCTCATTGGTTACATATATATATATATATATATATACACACACACACACATACCAGGTTTCTTCTCAGCCATGTCTAGGTGGGGAGCTAGAATGTGCTGCCATAGGAATACTCAGCAATAGCTGAACTGCAGGTTTGCTCCACACTGGCCTCTTACAAAACACTTCTGAGCATGACACAAGGATGTGATCAGCCAATTAATACATTAATAATGAATAATGTGAAACATTTCAACTGGATGCTGAGAAGTCACTAAAAAAATCCAGAAGTCTGAAAATCTAGGAATAGCCACAAGTGGGACTTCTGAAGCTTCATTTCTATTTGTTTGCAGAATTAAATTCACATCTAAAGTCTTTAAGACAATATTCATATTTTAAAACAACATCCATATATGAAGACATTATTCAACACACTCAAGTGCATTCACTGTGTATCTAAAGCAAGAACCCCATGTAATTGGGACATCTGCTTTTAGAACAAAATAAGTAGTTTACTCTCAGTGCTGTGTTAGAGGAGTTACAGTATTTGTGTATAATAATTTATGTTACAATAATTTGTGTACAAAAATTTACATTACAATAATTTGTGTACAAAACCACGGTTATTTAGCCCATAACCTCCCTCACTATATTAAATTCAATTTGAAAGGCTACCGTTTTATCAGGGTCTTCAAAAATTTCTCTTGCTTCTTCATAATTGCAGACTTCTTCATAGCATTCTCTTTCCAGGTTATCAGCTGTGAATGCTTCAAAATCAAATCTGTTGTTCAGAAGATGTCGTCCGATGAATAAATTGGCCTCCCTTGCAGATGTGAACACTAATGAAAAAAAAAATCAAGTTGATTTAAAACAAATTAGGAAGGCTAGATTTGGTATTTTTTAAAGAATGGTAAGGATTTTAAAGGACCACATTGGGATCATTTCTTTCCCTGGCATCTCTCAGCTATGTACAAGGGAAAGAAATATCAAAGTCTCCTCCTAAAATGTCTTCTTCACTACTATATTTTCTAATTATGTAACATGAAATAAATATATTTGCCTTTCTCATTAACCATCTCAGCTATTCCTTATCCTGGTCAAGGGAATTTGATTGTCATGAGAACTGTTAGTCAAGTTTTGGTGCGACCCCTGGTGGGATGTGAGCATCAATTTTTACTGGAGCTCTTAAGAACAAAGTAATTGTCACATAAAGAATTCAGTCAGATCCAAACAACACCCTGACCTCGTGGGGGAAGGAGACAAGGGTAGGGGAAGGAAAAAACAAATATACATTTATCAATATTCTAGTATCTGTGAGTACCACATTTTATCACATCAGCAGACTTCTATTCATTCTACAATTGTTCTCTTTTCACATTGTGGTACCAAACTTTACATAAAGGTGCCTTATTGCCAAGTTTATTTGTTTTAAATTTGTCCATGATATGAATTTTACTGACAACATGCATTTCTGAAGACTTCTGAAAAGAAGAGATTCTCTTTTGTGTTCCATGAGGCCTCGTGGAGTAAGTGGTGAGGTGAGATTCCAGAACAGTGAGTGAAATTATAGAAGGCTTTGGAATACAGGAATGTATTTCCTCACTAGGCATTTTCCATAGTCAAATTTTAGCCTGCTCTTGCTCCAGTGTCTTATTTAAAAAAAAAAAACCAAAAACAAACAAACAAAAAAAAACCCAAAAAAACCCCCAAAACAAAACAAAAAAAAAGACAAAACCAAATTTCTAATGAAAGATTAATCTATGTCCACGAAATTCAGGCTCTTTGGTTGAGCAAAATGACTAGAGGACTATTTTTGCAAGTGTAATGCAGAAACAGCATTGTCACATACCAAGCAGGATGGCTGAAAAGGGAGATGAGATTCAGGATAAAGTTATTCAGCTACAAATTAGCTTTGTGTTCTTGTTAGCCTGTTTGGCAAGATTATCACATCGCTCTGGAATTTTCACCCTAAGAGTTACTGTTAAATCTTGCAGTGCTCTCTCATAACACTTTCCTCTCTGAAAACTGAGAAAACTGCAGCATAACTTACATATTGGTTGTTTATGTCTTTAATACGATAGTATATTTAAGGAATAGACAGCATATATTTATATAATTTGCATACTGTTACACTGTGTACTGAAGTAGCTACACATGTGCACATGCATTTGTTTTTGTTATTCTGAAGCAATTGCAAGAAAATCCAAGCTTAAAATAGTTATACTATACCTAGACAGTAACCAGAGGAAAGGAATTAACAAAAAAAAAAAAAAAAAAAAAAAACAAAAAAAAAAAAAAAAACCGGAAAAGGAATTAACAAAAAAAAAACCAACAAAAAACCTGAAACAAACAAAAACCGAAGAAAACCAAACAAAAACCCAAACAAAACAATAACAACAACAAAAACAAACAAAACCACCCCAAAACCAAAACTCCCTCAAACCCACAAGTGGAAAGGGAAAATAATTACATGGGGAAAAAAAAAAAAATCAATATTCTTGGTTTAGTGCAAATTACAAAAGTAACTTTAGTCTTCTGAAGCAGAGATCTTCAGTTTTGCTCAGTAACGTTTCACTCTTTACCATGCAAATAGTATTAGCTGTCCTTTGAATTAACTTAGAAAACTCATGCATTTTGTTTAAAATGGAATGCATAATCAAATTGCCTGGAGCCTAGAACCCCCAATTCCCAGGGATACATGGCCCACTTTTTCTCTTCAAGAATTTTTTTCCATTTATCTGCATTTTTTTCACTTTGTCATATATCTCCATCTCCAACTTACTTGCTACCTGGTGATTAAAACAGTATTTGAAGAATGAAACAGATGGATTTGAATTGTGTCCTAAATGTGAGGGACCTGAATGCAGTTCTGCAGCCCTTGGTTTGATAAAATGATCCACGCAGTTTCAGGATGCCTAGCATTTAATTAAAAATGCAACCACACAATACTCTCAGTAAATCAGTTCTGCTAATAAAAGATGTTCAGAAAATGCTGAAGAGGGACCTCTCAATGTAGGTACCCCATACCTTTGGCAACTGTTCTACTTGCTGAATTATTGGATTATTTATATATATACACAACTAAAATATATAGACAATATTTTTTGATATTAATATTATTGGATATGATATTATAATATTAATATTATATTGATATTATTGGATATTAATGGGATACTTCTCTGTCCAACTCTGTCTTTAAAGGAGGAGTGGTCTGGGCTATAGTGAGGAGAGAATTCTCACAGGAGCTCACAGGGAAGAGGCAGCCTGACGTTTTATGCCCAGAGCAAGATGGATTTTAACAAATCATCTCTCACAAGCATTTTGCTGCTAGCCATGGTTTCTGCTCCACATACTGCCCTGAAGGAGCCTCCTGCTCCATGTGATGACTTTTAAAAATCTGTCTTAAGGTTTCAGCACTCCTTCTCCACTGAGAAGATGGACAGCTGAGCCTTTTTGAAGCCCTTAAAATGCTAACCATCGAAAGCCTTTGCTTCGTAGTGCTTGAGTCTCTCTGGGGAATTTATTTGCTTTTATATGAGTTCCTCCCCACTTCTCTCCCTCCAAAGGGAAGGACTACAAAAGCAGCACTATGCTTATCTTTCCAGGTGGTGTAAGGGGGCCTGGTATTGAGAGAAAATACGGATTTCAAAAAACAACCAAATAAACCCTTTCAAATGCAAAGCAATTTCAGATACACAAATACAACTGTGAAGTGCTCAAATAGTACCAAAACAATACTGCCTTAACACAGGTTTCAAACCTTTTGAATTTTGGTGTTACTTAAAGGCTTTTGGTTGTATCAACCACAATAACCTCAGAGGACTGGAAAAACTTCAGTTGTCCCAATCTGCACTTACTGCAAGATCTGACAAATACTTGATATTAACACCAAAGTAAATTATCAATAATTTCAGCAAGAGGTATTAAAATAATCTGAAATTAAGCATAAAACAGCTTGATTTTTTTTTTATAAAGTACAAAACCCCAAACAAACAAACCACCGAAAAAAACCAACCAAACAAAAAAAACCCACCAAACAACAAAACCACCAAAAACCCCAAAACAACAACCAAAACAACAATAACCAAACAACTAAAGAAGCCAGCAAAGCAAAGTTAGAAACAATTTTGGAAAGCACAAAGTCACGCTAAAACTGAGTTACCATCTTTCCATTCCGGCTGCTTCAAGTGATTTAACCTCCCAGGGCAGTGAGGAAACGCGAGCAGCGTCACATGCAGCTGACACAGCACCACCAAAACCGCGATCATGGCCGGGATCTGTCAGGCAGAAACCAAGGTGAGTTAAGCAGGGATGACAGCGCAATCCTCTGAAGTGTCAGCGATGAGCCCTGAGCGCATCCTGCCCGTGAAGTCATCCAGCGCAAGCAGCTACACGCACCAGTGGGTCCCTGCAAGAGGCACCGAGCCGAACTGGTCCTGCCTGTCTCTTGCGGAGCTCTGGTTGTGCAACACCCGCACGTGTCACCGCTCCGGCCGCCCTGCTCTCCTCTCCCGGCCCACGCTCGGTGGCGAGCTGGCGGGGAAAGAGCCCTGCAGGGTGCCCCAGGTGCGCTCTGAAACCGCACAGCCTTCGCTGCCCACTAGGTAACAAAATCTCCCCGACGGGAAAGGGTACAAAGCCCGTTTTGTCAGAGGCATGAAACAGACCCGTAACTCTGCGCCGAGTCACCCGACACGGGTGAAAACTCCATCGCCGCCCGGGGCGGGGACGTGCCACAGCCCCCGGGGCCGGGCACGGCGCTCCGGCCGGCAGCACGGGCACCCGGGACACAGGGAGCAGCTCATCCCGCTCCGGGACACAGGGAGCAGCTCATCCCGCTCCGGGACACAGGGAGCAGCTCATCCCGCTCCCAGCGCTGCCCTACCTGTCCCGGGACGGGGCAGCCCCTCCCGGGCTGGGCGGCGGAACCCGGGCGGATCAGGTGCGGGACAGCCTTTCCCCGGCTGTGCGGATCAGGGGGGGACAGCCTTTCCCCGGCTGTGCGGATCAGGTGCGGGACAGCCTTTCCCCGGCTGTGCGGATCAGGTGCGGGACAGCCTTTCCCCGGCTGTGCGGATAAAGAGCTGGGACAGCCTTTCCCCGGCTGTGCGGATCAGGAGTGGGACAGCCTCTCCCCGGCTGTGCGGATCAGGCGAGGAACAGCCTTTCCCAGGAAGGGCGCGGCGCAGTCACGGGGCTGCAGCTGGGCCGCCCCGTCCGTGCTCCCGAGCCACGGCTGGGTCCGCCCCGGGGCGGGGCAGAAACGCCCCTGGAGCGTGGGAAGAGAGGGGTCGTGGGGAGCTCAGGGACTGCGGGAGAGCTTTTCCCTCGGGCACTACGCTGGGCTTTGTTTCCGGACACCTGACTGACCTCCCAGGTGCGGAGCAAGAAGCAGGTCCTTTCTGCTCCTGCAGACCCCTTCTCCTGCTTAGCCTGGCTTTTTGCGCCCTGGTGCCAGGAAGCTGGGGGGTTCTGCTGCGCGGCAGAAAGCGTGGGGCGCCCGGCTGGCACCGGAACCGGGGCCAGGTGTGCCTCCCCCTCCGGGTGACTCCTAGCTCTGAACATGAACAATGGCATTTTCTCAGAGAAACAAAAGTCACCAGGCCAGGTTCCTGATGTCAGTTTGCAGGAGGCACTAGGCACTGTGAAGACAGCCACTCTTGCCTGTGGTGGCACCTTGCACCTGGGAGGCATCCTGATCCGTTCGGAATTTCAGCAGGCAGCTGGCCACTCCGGGCAATTGCGCCCTGGATAGGATCAATGGTCTTTCCCCTTATAAACAAAAGTCACCAGGCCAGGTTCCTGATGTCAGTTTGCAGAGGGCACTTGGCACTGTCAAACCAGCCACACTTGCCTGTAGTGGCACCTTGCATCTGGGAGGCATCCTGATCCGTTCAGAATTTCAGTAGGCAGCTGGCCACTCCGGGCCACCGGGCCCTGGACATGAACCAATGCATTTTCTCTGAGAAACAAAAGTCATCAGGCCAGGTTCCTGATGTCAGTTTGCAGAGGACACTTGGCACTGTCAAAACAGCCACACTTGCCTGTGGTGGCAACTGGCATCTGGGAGGTATCCTGATCCGTTTGGAATTTCAGCAGGCAGCCGGCCACTGCAGGTCACTGGGCCCTGGACACGAAGGATGGCCTTTTCTCTGAGAAAGAAAAGTCACCAGGCCAGGTTCCTGATGTCAGTTTGCAGGAGGCACTTGGCACTGTCAAAGCAGTCACACTTCCTTGTGGTGGCACCTGGCATCTGGGAGGCATCCCACAGTTGTCTCTGGTGGTACCTTGCATCTGGGAGGCATCCTGATCCGTTTGGAATTTCAGCATGCAGCCGGCCACTCCGGGCAACTGGGCCGTGGACACGAACAATGGCATTTTCTCTGAGAAAGAAAAGTCGCCAGGCCAGGTTCCTGATGTCAGTTTGCAGAGGACACTTGGCACTGTCAAAACAGCCACACTTGCCTGTAGTGGCATCTGGCATATTGGAGGCATCCTGATCCGTTGGGAATTTCAGCAGGCAGCTGGCCACTGCGGGCCATCGGGCCCTGGACACGAAGGATTGCATTTTCTCTGAGAAACAAAAGTCATCAGGCCAGGTTCCTGATGTCAGTTTGCAGAGGACAGTTGGCACTGTCAAAACAGCCACACTTGCCTGTAGTGGCACCTTGCATCTGGGAGGCATCCTGATCCGTTCGGAATTTCAGCAGGCAGCTGGCCACTCCGGGCCACCGGGCCCTGGACATGAACCAATGCATTTTCTCTGAGAAACAAAAGTCACCAGGCCAGGTTCCTGATGTCAGTTTGCAGAGGACAGTTGGCACTGTCAAAACAGCCACACTTGCCTGTAGTGGCACCTTGCATCTGGGAGGCATCCTGATCCGTTCGGAATTTCAGCAGGCAGCTGGCCACTCCGGGCCACCGGGCCCTGGACATGAACCAATGCATTTTCTCTGAGAAACAAAAGTCACCAGGCCAGGTTCCTGATGTCAGTTTGCAGAGGACAGTTGGCACTGTCAAAACAGCCACACTTGCCTGTGGTGGCACCTTGCTTCTCGGAGGCGTCCTGAGATGTTCAGAATTTCAGCAGGCAGCATTCCTCTCTGGGCCACTGAACCCTGGACACCAAGTCTGGCCATTTTCCCTGGGAAATTAATCTCAGCAGCCCTGGTTCCTGATGTCAGTTTGCAGGAGGCACTTGGCACTGTCAAACCAGGCACAGATGCTGATGTTGGCACTTTGCATATTGGATTCATTCTGCGACGTTCGGAATTTCAGCAGGCAGCTGGCCACTCTGGGCCACTGGCCCCTGGACACCAACGCCAGCCATTTTTCCTGTGACACGAAACTCACCAGCCCACGTTGCTTATGGCAATTTGCAGGAGTCATTTCGGTCTCCCAATGGAGCCTCATTTTTCAGTGGTAGAAATTTGAAACAAACAGGCATCCTGCACCGTGCACTACCTTAGTATGCAGTCAGCCACTCCGAGCCAGAGGTCCCTTAAAGAAACGCCGTCATTTCTCCCGTTCAACAGAAGTCACTCGCGCTGGTTCTTGGTGTGAGTTTGGAGGAGGTGCTTGGGACTCTGAAAGCAGCCTGAGTTTGTGGTGGTGGCTACTTCAAACGAGGAGGCTTCCTGCACCCTTGGAACCTCTGCAGGCAGTCAGGGGCCAAAGGCCCCTGAATAAAAATGTCTGTTACCCTATGTCCTAGGGTAACAGAACTCACCTTGGAAGGCCCAGGTTCCTGTAGTCAATTTGTAGGAGGCACTCGGGACTCTCAAAGCATCCTTAGTTTGCTGGGGTGGCAGCTTTGAACTGCGAAACATCCTGCACTGTGCGAAACCTGAGCAGGCAGCCAGCCACTCAGGGCCACAGACCCCTGAACACAAATGCCAGTTTTTCCCTCGGAGGCAAAAATCTCCAGCCAGACTGCTGATTCAAGTTTGCAACAGGTGCAGGGGACTGTCAAGGCAGCACGCGTTGGAGGTTGTTGGTGGTTGGGACAGGGAGACATGCGATACACTTCAGAATTTGAGGAGGCAGCCGCCCACTCACGGGTAAGAATCCTCTAGCTGTACTCACGTCTGCACAAGTCGTAATGCGCTATGAGAATGCTAATGAGTCTCCACATCGGGTGCAAAGGAAGGCCGCCTCACCCGCAGGAAATTTCCCGCCATCACTGGGCTGTGGTCCCTTGGTCAGCTACAGTCAGGAACACCAAACCTCACTGCATGATCTTAGCTGTGCAGCAGCCAAAGCCCAACAATTCTGCTACTCGCCCTTCTCCTAACAATGCCTGGCTCCTCAGGCCACACACTTCGGCCGTGCTGGGAGGCCCACACTTGTCCCGGGGGACAGCCTGGGTTAAGAACAGACAAGGTGATTTGGCTTTGCTGAAACTTAAGTGGACCTAGCTCCTCCTCACAACTTCTCCAACTGACAGCAACTCCTCGGCCATTCCTCAAGACTCCCCGGGCGACACCGTCAAATGGTCAAGGCTTTATCACAGAGCCCTGTACTACTTCCTGAGTTCCCACAAGAGCAACAAACCGGGCCTGTTGGCCAGTTGCTGACAGGGTCTTGGCATAATACCAGTGGACCGCCTAAAGCACACAAAGCAGAATGGAGGCTAAGAGTTGCACCAGTAATTAAGACCAGAACAATAGCAACTGCTTCCGTCCACCAGCCACTGCGCACCTTGCCCACTTACCTTGACTGCTGGCGTCCGGCTTTACTTCCTGAAAATAAATACAAAGAACAATGCTGTGAAACAGAGTCACCACTTACGCTTCCCCTGCAACAACAAACGCTGACTGACCTTCTCAGGGGAGCCCACCCACCCGGCATGGGGCGCTCTGCCACGTATTTCATCTGGCTGCATCTGAAAGAAGGTTAGAACAGAAGTCAGTGTGCTGCAGGATAACTCAACAGTTCCAGACATCTATAGCCAATCTACAAATCTCATCTGGAGTCCATCTACACCCTGCAATACAAATTTCCAGGCTGTGGGACTTGTCTCATTATACCTACACCAGGCTATGCAGCAGGGCAGAGCAGCTTCAGCCCAAATACCCAGACGCCCATGACACAGAACAAGACAAACGAGGGTTCAGAACAGGGAGAGAAAGTTCTTGGCGAGAAGGCCCGCAACAAACGAGACAACATGGAACAACATGACCTAGGTAAGACTGATGGCGAGCCAATGAGGCTCAGAGAACCCTGCAGGAATATGATGCTAATTGAATGACTTACTCCAAGCATCACAAAGATGGTTGCCTGAGAAGTCAGAATGCTTTATCTTTGCATTTGCACAAGTCCTAATGCACTAGAATGCATCGTTGCCATGCACAGCTGTCGAGAAGAGCTCAGAACAAGACCTTTAAAGACATCTGACTGGATGCTTCTAAAGAGAGGCTACGCCAATGCCTGTCCAGGCTCCCAAGTCAAGAATTTGAAGGAATCAGCACTGGGCCGAGGAGCACAGAGATCTGAGATGCAAAGATGGACACCTGGGTTTCTGATAAGCCTCTCAAAGCACTAAAGCAAAAGACATGCAACACGAGACACCCAAAAGACACAGAAGGCACAACAGAGAAGTGACACAAGTGACGTGCACCGGGACTGCTCTGCCCTGAGCACCTCAGCACCGTGAGACTTCCTTCATGTGGCCTAAGGGACCACCTCTTGCACATCCCCGCCTCCAAAGAAGCTGCTCAAAAAGCCCTCCCAGCACCTCGCTTTCATCCCTCTGGGTGTCACAGCCCTCAACTTATCTCTTGGATGTCCAGGGATGAAAATCCACATCGTCCAGTGGGAAAGAAGGCTGTTTCTCTCACTAGGAATTTCCTGCAGTCACCGCTGTGGTCCCTTGGTCAGCTACAATCAAGAAACATACATTAATTTAAAAAAGAACAATACCCAAAAATTCCACCAAAAAAAGTCAACCCCATTTTCCCACAACCAAACTTCCAAATGCAATTAAAAGACCCCATGTCCAATACACATAAAAAAACCCTCTAAAATCTATGCCAAAAAACACCCTTAAATCTAAAAAAGCCCTGTCTGTAACCAAATAAAATCAAAAAACCCCTGTCTTGTAAACTGTATAAATTCATTAACCTAACAGT